AGCCTCTGACAGGTGATCCTGACTGGTTTGGCCAAGAGGCTATCAAGTGCTGGCACTTCAGCTGCCCTTCCCCCTTACCGCCGCACATCTCCTGCCTTTGCCTTTGAGCTGTCTCACACCACCCATGGGAGTCTCCTGCTTGCTGTGAAGAGCAGGGGAAGGAGAGGAGGGGTTGCTGATGTCAAGGTGCCCCCTTCCACTCTGTATTCTATCTCTACAGAACAGAATGAGGGGCACAACAGGACTTGGGAGGGAGTTTGCTGGCTGCCTTTGGGAGCAGTGCAGGGCCACGGCAGGGGTGAGCCAGCCTTAGCCCCACTAAACCACAACCCAGAAGCCACCTGAGGTAAGCAGTGCCCAGTCAGAGCCCACATCCTACAGCCCAATCCCGGTCATGAACCCGCTCCTGCAGCCCAAGTCCCTGCCCTAGCCTCGAGCACCTCTGCATCCAAACACCCTCGCAGAGCCTGCACCTAGAACCCCCTCTGGCATCCCAACTTCCTGCTGCACGCTCAGCTCAGAGCCCCTCACTCCAGATCCCTTAATCCAAGACCAAAGCCTGCACCCCAACCTGCTGCCCCTCCTGGTGAAAGTGAGGAAAGATGGGGGAGGGAAGGAGGGAGGATGGAGCGAGCAGGGGGTGAGGCCTCAGAGAAGGGGCACAAAGGAGGCAGGGCAAGGGTATTTGGGTTTGAGGTAGATCTTGGATTGTGCTTAAATTTAAAAAGCGATCCCATGCTTAAAAAGGTTGGAGATCACTGTGTTAGACTGATCCCTTCTGTTCTTTGCAAGGGAATTACCATGATGAATTAGACTGGTAGCACACCCAATCAAATACCTTGTTCATGATGCTGGAGCCATTAAGAAATGCTTCAGAAAAGGATACCAAAAAATCCTATAATGGACCATGATGGAAAAATTAAACCAGAGGAAAACTTCTCTTTAGTGGTTGGCTTATACCTGATCCATGAGTGTTCATCTCTCTTCAGTTTTAGTTGAATGTATGTATATTTTTAATATAAGTGTGGATTTTCTAGTATGAACATTAGTTACAGTAATGATGAGAGGTGAAGCAAATGCTTTCTTTTAAATATAGTGCTCACACATTTTCCTCAAAAGCATAAACAAATGGATGACTCCTCCCCTGTAAAGTAATTAGGGAATCTACATATCTGGCTGAAACTGTGGGTACTTCTCTCACTTGTTCCCCCCACTACTTTTGTGAATTCTACACTTAATTTCACCATTTTCTTCTCGCTCCAACTGAAACTAAATCTTCTTTCCCCATCTCATCTCCTGCCCTTCCCTACAATCCTTCAAATAGCACCATATTAGTAGTAACTTCTCCAGTTCTCTGTTAGCTATGTTATCTGTTCAGCAACAACTCTTTCTGTATTGTCAGCACATCATACTCATTTCAGTCTTCCGGGCTCAAATTCTGCCATATGTTTCAGACTCAGCTGGTCTTAAGGCCTTGATTACAAGGCATTTATTTCACATGCCTTTATTCAAACAGTTTCTATAGTGGCAAGAGACCTTAGAACATCTTAATTTCTATGCACCAACTCACCTAAAAATCAAACTAGATTAACCGATAAGCCTAGGTTTAGTGGTTAATTGACTAGTCAACTGCTCCAGGGCCCACCTTAGACAAAATGGTGCCCTGGGCAAACTTGCATTTTGGTGCCCCTTCTCCCCTCCTACTCTGGAGCATGGTGTCCTTTCCATTTCCCTTGGAAGCCGCTCAGTCCCTTGCTCCCGAGTGCAGGGCTATTCTCTCCCCCTTGAAAAGACAGTTGTCACAGTCCTCTTTTGCCAAGCCCTTCCATTAAGAACTACATGGGGAATGGATTATTTTAGATTAAATATTTCCCCCTAGATATGACACACAGAAGGCGGCTGCTGTTTTTGAAGGTCATCAGATCGTAAAATGAAAGAGTGGGTAAAAACACCTGGGTAGGTCTCTCGCTCTTCAGTGGGTTCTTATTCCACAGTTTGAGCTGCTTTGCAGAAGCCTTGGCAGCTCCCTTGCTGCAGCAGCACTTGCCCTTTATGCCTGGCCTGCAGCTCGTGGGGAGCTCCCTGCTGTCATATGGGGGCTGCATCTTGTGCATGGAACTCCTGCAGCCTTCTGGCTCCTCCTGACTCACCAGGGAAGCCAATTCAGATTGTGGTGGGGCTGGGGAAGGCAGTGTGATTCCATAGGATAATTAGCTACCTGAAATCTAGGTTGTTTGTTTGTAAATAACTTAGAAATTAGCTGATTTCACAGTACACAGAAATCCTGAAATATTTCCGTCAGTAATAATTAAATTATTTACAGATAGGGAAATCCAGAGACAGAGAGAGAGGTGATATAGTAGTTTTTGCTGTTTTGTTGTAGTCGTGTTGGTGCCTGGGTGAGAGCCACAAGGTGAGTGAAGTAATATCTTCAATTGGACCAAATATGGTTGGAGAGAGAGACTACCATTGGAACACCTCAAAGCTCTTCTCCAGGTCTGCGAAGCTCAAAAGGGATAACCTCTCACCAACCAAAGCTGTTCCAAAATAAAAAAGAGATATGACCTCAGCCACCTTGTGTCTCTGTGTTTTAACAGCTTTAAAGCTTGAACTCTTTGCATCTCAACTTTGTCTGTCAAAAAATTATTAGACCTCCCTCCATAATTTTCTGAAAATGTGAAAATTATAAAAAGACAAAAAGCTCAAAACATATATTACACAAAGTTATAAAAAAATAAAAAGTGCCTTTTAATAAGACAGAACAGCAGAGGGGAGCAGTGCAGAGGGGGTGGAGGGATGGGGCACAGCCTATATTCTTACTGAATTCTCTGAGTTTAAGGGCCTAATTGTTGTGACTTGCAATTTCAAATCACACAAACAAAACAAGTGTGGGGTCACTTACTTGCTTCCATGCCGCTGGTATCCCAGGCACTGCCTCCCACTGCTCCCATTGGCCGGATTCCAGAGTAGTGGGAAAAGGCTCTGCTAAACCAGATCTGGTGGGGAGGCTCAGGGCTTCCCTCCCCACCCCTCTCAAAAGCCATCCCTGGCACTTCAATCTTGCAGGGGGCCATGAGGCTAGAGTGCAAGCACGGGCTCCCTGCTGTGGGGGCAGCTCGTTGGATAGGTGGAGTGGGGTGGCTGAGGGAGCACATAGAAGTACGTTGAGGTAGTGCGGGCAAGCGCAGCCCTGCTGGGGCACAAGCATGGTTGGCACAGACTACTCTGGCCTGACAGGAGCTGGATTGTCAGCTGAGGCTGCCCAGAATGGCTGTGCCACAGTTCAGGTCTGGCTGCCCAGTCCTGGTAGCTGGGGAGTGAGAGCAGGTGACCCTGATGATGTCATGCTGTTGTCTGGCAGGAAATATATATATATATATATATGGAGAGATATTTCCACTTCCTCATAACTAAGTCAAGGCAGGGCAAAGCACACTCATTAACTCTAGATGGAACTGTTTTATTAAAATTGTCACACTTCCTTCACATTTCTAAGAGAGCTAGATGAGAGTTTTTGGACTATTGCACCCTGATGTACAATACATGATCTTGTATTTACATAATAGCTTTAATTCCAAATAAATTATATACTGATATACAATCACTTCATCATTCCATTGATAAATTAAGTGGATTACAGAGCAGACCATGCTAACTATTCATAACAGTTTAAGGAAAGGTGGAAAATGCCACTATATTAATGAAATTCAAGGGGGAAATGTAGGGAACTAGCCAAACATGGATATCACAGAAAACATCTCAGCTTTTTAAAGCAATGCTTTGTACCTTTAATGGTCACAAATATTTGCAACTATAAACTTTACATCTCCAAGAATGAAGCACTACGCCACACAGACGTAAAAGGCAGGTATCATTTAAGGAATCACCAACACTTCTTCTCATAGCCTCCCAAGTTTTCCTTTGACATTTCTTTGGAAATAGTGACCCAGGCTGAACCTGTTTAGCTTGTGAGATGAGACATGATCACAGCCTAAGGTGCTACAGGGCAGCAGGCAAATCTGTTCCTATCTATATTTTTATTAAGTTTGTCAAGACACTTCTCGCTGAAGATCCTGCTTTAAGTTGTTTATAATTTAGAACACCAGAACTTGAAGGGACCTTGAGATGTCATTGAGTCCAGTCCCCTGCCCTCACAGCAGGACAAACATCCGATTTCTGTGGTGTGTCTGGATTCTGCACCAGTCATAGAATACCAGAACACCATACTGCTCTATAAGTATTGTACACTAACCAGTTATGCTATTGGATCACCTTTAACTCAGGCCTCATTGTAAGCAGGATCTGAACTTGTGTGGGGAAGCCCTATTGGATTTCAAGTCCAACACCTTAACCACTGGACCATTGCTTGCTCATGTTAAAAAAAATTGAGATATTTTCCTTGAAATACCCCAGGGCCCTTACGCTTTGGAGGAGATACTTTTGATGTCACCATGGAAATCAACCTAAATCTCACCACGTTACAAGCTGCTGAAAAACTGCAGATTGCACATGCTCAGTAGAAACTGATTTTAGCAGCTAAAAATCTCTAAAGATTGAATCCCATCTGAGCATGCTACAGCTCGTCACAGCTACAAGTGCTGACTGGACTGCCCATATATCACCCCATATGCTGAATGACCATGATACATCCTGTCCCAGCTCCCACCTATGGCACAGCTGACCAAATGCCATGGTCACAAGAGCTCTAGGGGTGAAGAACTTCCCCTATAGCTGCTGTCTCAGCTGATCTGGGCTGGGCTAGACAAAGTAGACTGGGATAAGGAGTCAAGGACAGGATAAGAGGAGAGAGACTGAATGAAGAGCCTAGAAGCCAAAGGAGGGGAGAGGAGAGAGATCAGAGGAGGAACTAGAACCTTAATTCAAACTTTCAAGTGATTTACTTTGAAATCTTAATGTCCTTTTAACTTAGTTTGTGTGTGCACAATATATCTATGTTCAAGTAGTGATGTGGTGACCCAAGAGAACTCTGGATCCCATACCTTGATTATTTCCACCAGCTGATCCACACCACTGTCGCCTGGAAAGATTGGTTGTCCAAGTAACAGTTCAGCCAATACACAGCCTGCTGACCACACATCTTAAGAGAAAAAGGATGTTTCAGTGAAAGATGTTATATACATATCACATCAAATTTAACCCATTTAATATATTACTCTGTTTGATTCTGTACAAGATCAATTAGTCTAAAATATTCAGACTATCTAAAAAACAAATAAGGACATTGAGAATCTCTGGTAGAATCTGAGATTAAAATGTATAAAGAAGTTCATCTATCTGTACATTAACATACACACACCCTCATCCATTTGGGTGTATTAACTGAAAGATTAATGATTACTCACATCCTGTTTGAGTCATGTTATACATACTGAGTGTGTAAAGACTTAATCAAGGAACAGGTGATTTTTTTTTTTAAAGCGGGGAGTACAGACTCATGGTTGTGTCATACATGAATCAGAGCTGTAAATAGCGCTAGCATTAAATCGGATAATTTAGGTTGTTGAAGGACAGACACACTGCACTGGCACAATTTAAGCTCCAAATTTCTCCCACTTGGAAATGGCTATATTGGAATTCTGAAAGGTATGAGAACTTTCTAATTTCAGGGTAATTTACAAACATTATCTGAAAAAATCTGTTGGGGAATCTAAATTCTAAGAGAGTCCTCTTACAATATCCACCTGTCCCTCTAAAATAGTTAATGTAATCATAACACTTAAGACAGCAAGACAATATGATTTCTGCTTGTGTCTCCTCTATAGCCTGAGTTTACCATTCAAACTCAGTTTCCAAAAGCATATCAACATTCATGCTCTTGCACAAAGAATATATACAAAAAGCCACAACAATTTTAAGTTCAAGTAGAAAAACAGTAGGGAAATTAATGAGTAAGAGAACATATTCAAGAAAAGACTTAAGGCAAAATTTCTATTTTAAATTTCTAACAGTATATGCAGAAGAGATTAAACACAAAGTACAGAGCTTAAAAATGTATTTGGTGTCACAGTATTTTACACTTTTTTTATTCCACAAGTAATATTTTCAAAAGTGCTTAACTGACATAGGATCTTCCTTAGTTACATTTGTAAGATTTTACCCATACTGTATGTATCACACACTCACTCCTGAAAAACAATTGCTTCTGGGGAAGAAGGCTACAGCAGTTTAGAAGCACACACTGAAGTCTCACAACAGTTTCTATCAAAGCAAATAAAAATTTGATATGCAACATTTGTGGGACATAGGTAGACGTAATGAAATTACAGATGAAATACAGCCATAACATTCTAACCTTTCTGAAAACAATGCCACATGGTCTTCAATGGCCAAGGACAAGTGATCAGGAACATTTACAGCTCAACTGAAAGATATATAAATTTAGTTTTTTTCACTCCTCCTAATCCTAAACAGCAGGACTAGAAGAAATCTGATCCCTCCCCAATCCAAAGAATGAAGCCCTGGAAACTAAAGTAATTATGTAGCAGAAAATGGCTTAATGCCGCGTTTCTCAAACTGTGGGTCCTAATCCCCCCGGGATTCGCAAGCAACTTAGGGGGGGGGTCATGGTATCACAAAGTTTGAGAACCCCTGGTTTAATGAATTCAATGTCAACTGTCAATGAGTACTCACCCATTTATGTGCAGTCATATACCAAATTGTGCAACTACACCTTAGCTTCATTCTGCATATACAAAATTATGATCGCTTGTAGTAGATGTATTCCATAGGGCTAAACGCTGCTGTACTTTTTATTTACTTACAAACAACCTTACTTGACACCATAATAGCCAAAGGAGAGGTTACTTACTAGATCATCCCTGATAGACATCTATCTAACCTGCTCTTAAATATCTCCAATGATGGAGATTCCACAACCTCCCTAGGCAATTTATTCCACTGTTTATTGACCCTGACAGTTAGGGTGTTATACCTAATGTCTAGCCTAAACCTCCTTTGCTGCAATTTAAGCCCATTGCCTCTTGTCCTATCCTCAGAGGCCAAGGAGAACAAAATTTTTCTCCCTCTTCCTTGTAACACCCTTTTAGATACTTGAAAATTGCTATCATGGCCCTCTCAGTGTTCTTTTTTCTAAACAAAACAAGCCTAGTTCATTCAGTCTTTCCTTATAGGTCATATTTTCTAGCCCTTCAATCATTTTTGTTGCTCTTCTCTAGACCGTCCCCAATTTCTCCACATCTTTCTTGAAATGTGCTGCCCAGAACTGGACACACTACTCCAACTGAGGCCTAATCAACACAGAGTAGAGAGGAAGAATGACTTCTCGTGTCTTGCTCAGAACACTCTTGTTAATGCATCCTAGAATCATGTTGCTTTTTGGTTTTTTGTAAGTGCAGCAGTGTTGAATCATTTTTAGCACGTGGTCCACTATGACCCCTAAATCCCTTTCTCCAGTACTCCTTCCTAGATAGTCCTTTCTCATTCTGTATGTGTGAAACTGATTGTTCCTTCCTAGGTGGCATACTTCGCATTTGTCCTTATTAAACTTCATCCTATTTACCTCAAACCGTTTCTCTAGATCATTTTGAACTTTGACCCTATCCTCCAAAACACTTGCAACCCCTCCCAGCTTGGTATCATCTGCAAACTTAATAAGAGTACTCTCTATGCCATCATCTGAATCGTTGAAGATACTGAACAGAACCAGTCACAAAACAGACCCCTGCAGAACTCCACGTGTTATGCCTTTCTAGCATGCCTTACTAAAGTCTAGGTACATCACATCCACCACTTCCCCTTATTCACAAGACTTGATATCCTCTCAAAAGAAAGCAATCAGATTGGTTTGACAAGATTTGTTCTTTATAAATCCAAGCTGGCTGTTACCTATCCCCCTATTATATTCCAGTTGTTTCCAGATGAATTCCTTATTTACTTGCTCCATTATCTTCCCTGGCACAGAAGTTTAAACTCACTGGTCTGTAGTTTCCTGGTTTGTTCTTATTTCCCTTTTTATAGATGGGCACTATATTTGCCCTCTTCCAGTCTTCTGGAATCTCTCCTGGTTTCCTTGACTTTTCAAAGATGACAGCTAAAGGCTCAGATACCTCCTCTATCACCTCCTTGAGTATTCTAGGATGCATTCCATCAGGCCTTGGAGACATCTCACTTTTCTAAGTAATTTTAACTTGTCTTTTTATTTTAAACTTGTAAACCTACCCCATCTCCAATAGCATTCACTATGTAAGGCATCCCGTCACAATCAAACTTCTTGGTGAAAACCAAAAATAGTCACTGAGCACTTCTACCATTTCTAAGTTTCCTGTTATTGTTTCTCCCTCTTCACTGAGCAATGGGTCTACCCTGTCCTTGGTCTTCTAATATATTTATAGAATGTCTTCTTGTTACTCTGTTGTCTCTAGCTAGACTGAGCTTGTTTTGTGCCTTTGCCTTTCTAATCTGGATCAGCAATTATAAATGGGCAATTTACACCTCATACTATCAGAGCCATCCAGATACGATCAGTGTCCTTAGGAATCCGCTGTGTGGAAAACCCACCGTGGTGACTGTTGCCCACAGGAGACTGAATGGCACTTGTAATCTATGGAGCGGTCTCATGATCTGTGACGAGGTGAGATAAAGGATCAGCACTGCTCTTCCTGCCATTGGGTGCGTGCTTCCCAGGTCTATGCCATGGCACTGGCAAACTGTACTCCAACTCAGGCTGATGGAACCCTGAAGCCCAGTGGGCTCCTATGGACCAGCCTCCCCTTTTCCGAGGCATGTTGGCTCTGAGTGGGTGGGATGTTCTCCTAGATGGAAAACTGTGCTGGATCAATGGGGACTTGCACATAGAACACACAGCAGGTTTTCCTTAGACTGAGGAACTTCTAAAACCTGTGTGGGTAGCACCGGTAATGCTAGGATATCCTGGGCTGCTTGCAGGGCCTCAGGCCTCAAAGGGACCTCTATATGGTAAAGGCCCTCCATGTAACAGTCCTGTATGAGGGCAGACTAGATCACTCTACTTAAGCTGGTGCTCTTCTTCCCAAAGGAGTAGCTGAGATGCCCAATGTGTAGGGCCGACAAATCACTGTTTCTTCTTGCCCGTGGTGAGGAAGATTTCAGCCGGTCACACCATTTACTGGCGGCGCGCACATGCGCAATGCAGGTCTTGCACATGCGCAGTGCGGGGCTAGAGAGTAGATTTCGCTGCCATTTGTCAAGTCCTGCCAGTGTGGGTTGTACCTCTCTTCCAGCCCTTCCCTTCCCTTCCCGGAGGTGGGAGATCTTCCCCTCAAGTTTTTCAGCCTGCCTGGAGGGAACCATGGAAAGAGCTTAGTGCCAGGTGCAAGATGGTGTAGAGTGCCCGAACGACATCAATGCTGTGGTACTCAGGGCCAAGTCAGATTTTAGGGAGTTAATGCCAACTCCATCAGGAAAGCCCCGAGACCAAAGTCCCTCTCCTCCTCATGATTTACAAATAGGACAGTTGTGTTTTTCTCACAGCTGGTATGAAGATCACTGATGGGCATGGGACGCCTAAAGCAAGAACATAGATTGAAGCCCATGGACCAATGCATGACCTGTCCCAAGGAAAAGTCCCATTCAGGAGCAACTACGAACTCCAACTATGACTAAACTACTAAAAACTAAGAACCGTCACGCTAGCACAAGGTAGCAGAACATTCTAGCTCTGTTACTGGAAACAAGAAAGAACTGAAGGTGAGGGGAGTATGCTAATGCATATGGTAAACACCGTATACTTATACTAATGCATATGGTAAACACACACACCTAATGTGGCAGGCACTGACTGGGAGGAGTTTATCTAGGTGTCCCTTGGCCAGCAGGCTGCAGTACCCCCGAGCCAGACTGGGCTCCCTGTCTGCTGCAGCCCCAGCCCGCTGGAAAATGCAACCTCTTCCCTCCACATGGCTCTCAATTCAGTGTTAGGGAAGAAGCTTGCATTGCCCCTGTCACTCAGGCCAATCTCTCAGCTCTGATTGGATGGCTGTTTCTAGCCAATAGGAGCTGAGAGATTGGCTGAGGTCAGTTCTTATTGGCCAGTTGTTTCTGGCCAATAGGAGCTGAGGATTGGAGCGGGGGCAGGGAGATCACATGAAGCCTCCCCGTCCCTGCACAGCAGAGAGTTGCAGGGACTATGTTTAAAACCGCAGTAGTTACGTGCCTGAAGGTTCCGGTAGGGGGGAGCTGCAGTGGCTTGGTGGGCCGTATTTTGCCCAGGTCTGAACTAAAGGCTTCAGAAAAGGTTAGAGTTCTGAAAAAGTACTGTCAAGTAGAAAGACTTTTAAATGTGAAGTGCCTTTTGATTTTCACTGTAACAATCTTTCTTAATGGCATCTACAATTTTTTTTCATTAAACAGAACATTTGCATGAACACAGAATATTAGTTTTTCCAGAACTCTTCTACTCTTGATGTTTGCTCAGGAGTCCTGTATGATATATGTGGCTAGGTCACATACAGGTGCATCGTTAATTTGTAAAGAAAATAACAAGAGTATGTGCAGAAACTAAGTGCTTGCATTTCCACTAGATCACACTTCTAAGCAAAAGCTATGAGTACTATCTGTGGCTTACCAAGGAAAGATTTTTTTAAAATTACATTAGCTAACCTGTTTAATTAGTTTTTAAATATCGCTAAGCACCTTGCGTATGATGGGTCTTCACACTTTTAAAGTATTTTAATTGGTTACAGACAATCCTAGATTCTTCCCAGGCTCGATCAAGACCCACTAACATTTAAAAAGTGTTTACCTTGCCTAAACTAGGTATTGAGCTACATTTTAAAAAGGTCAACATGGCCCTTACATATAGCAACATAACACACCCAATGCCATGGAATAGACATGGTAAGTCTCGGATCAGGAAGCTAGAGATCTGAATTCTGATGCCAGTCTCTGTGTATTCTGGGATTTAGAAACCAAAGCTACCAACATTGTTAGCTATTTCACTGCTGTTCATTTTAGCAGAAATTTCTGCCTCCTATGCCTGCACAGGTATCAGAAGCCCCAAGTTTTCTCTCTCTGGGTGACAAAAGTGCCAGCTTTCTTGATAAAGTTTTTAGTTACCTACTGTGACAGAGCTCTGACTTTGCCAGGGGGGATGGAGGGGAAGGTCCTTTGCTTCTCGGCAGTTAGTGTTTGCCTCAGTCTCCGTGGCCTTCAACATAGCCTCTCACCCTTCACTAGAGGCAAGCGTCACAGCTTACTGAGCCATCTTTATCATAGGCCAGTCAATGCATTTGGGATGAAACCCTCCTTAGCTCCAGTCTCCCCTCCTGGCTTAATTGCTCTACAGAAGTCCCTACCCTTGTGACAGGGAACAGAAAACTATTCGTCCGATAACCTGTATATTTACATTCCATCAAGCTACTGAATCCAACTGGTCTGGGTATGTCACACTATACAATAAAATAATCTTTGACACTTTGAAAACTTGAGGTGTGGGGACAGCATAACAAAAAGTTGAATATCAAATACCTCGGATTATTATACAGATTATATTGTTCATTTTCATATTTGATTTAAACCATTGAGATATTTTTATGCTCTGATAAAGTACACAGATCCTTGCCGGGAGCTTTAAAACCAACACCCAAGTCCATTTTCATTCTTATTCAAATACTTAATAAAATTCAATCACTTTAAGAGAGAAAACTGCTCTACTGAAACTGTTGGACAGCTGGGAGAAAATGGTTTGAAGTTTGACTTTTAACAAAACATGAATCACCTATCAACCCACACTAAAGTCTAGAAGCTAGAAAAATCACAGCTTCAGAAAAATGAATGGACATGAATTTCTTTTAACAACTATCCTTGATCACTTACAGCCAAGTCCTCCCTTCAAGAGTAACATTTGAGCACCTGGGGGAACTCAAACATTTACTAAATCTATTTTGTCCACAAAAAAGCTATAAAAATAGTACAGTCAATACAGAGAGTGCAATACACAAAAAGATATGCATACCTATACTGGAGGTATAATCGGTGGCTCCAAAGATCAACTCTGGTGCCCTGTAGTACCGAGAGCAGATGTAAGAGACATTAGGCTCTCCACGAACCAGTTGCTTTGCACTAGACAGAAGCAAAACAGAGAACTCATTCAGAGGTAAAGCTAGATTAGCAACAGCTATTCTGGTGACATCTCATACATACATACTCTCAAAGTTAATTTGATCTCCTACAGTTAAAAGGTATTTTGGGGTAAGGGACTCAGAAAAAGGAAGTGGATTCCTGACTTCTACCAGTGATATTGCCCATGAAAAGAGGTTTAAAGCTTTAAGTGTGTAATGAAAACTCTGTTGTACGGATACCAATAAAAAAATGTGCCATTAGACAAGACTTGTAAATCTTGGAATATAAAGTCTCTGTGTTGAATTAGGCAATGGTTCTCTTCAAATAGATTAATTTTAAACCAGGCTTTGAAATACAAAGGGCTTGTGTACCCAAGAAAAACATTAGTTTTACAGATATGCTGGCACGCTTTCCTAGTGTAGACACAGCATATGCTAACGTAAAAGTCTCAGAGGGGTAGCTGTCAGTCTCCTGTGGCACTTTAAAAACTAACATTTATTTGGGCACAAGCTTCCATGGGTAAAAACCACTTGGTCAGATGCATCCATAATACCCAAGAGATCGGAGTTACACGTTTATACTAGCACTTTTATACTAGCACACGTGTCTCTACATCTGAGCTTATACTGGCATAACTGTGTCTGATGAAAAATTATATCCATGAGTAATTTAGCTATACTAATACAAGTTCATCCTCTTTGGTCTGGGACTCACTGGTCCAGCCACATTGGTGATCCAACAGGACCACAGATGTTGCTGGACCAGAGAGCCACTGGACCAGAAAACTCCAGTGACAAAAGTTGCCAGTGACCTGGAGCAGAACCAGTTTGGAAGGTCAGAGCCAGCAGGGTGGGGGCAGAGAGCCAGTCCAATGTGCTGGCAGCCAACAAGGTAGCCTGGGAGCAAGGCTGAAAAACTGGGAATGGAACTGGGCCAACAGACCAGGGGGAGTGGACCTCTGTGACCAGGGCCAGTGACCAGGAGGGGAGTCTGGCTGGGAGGATGGCGGCCCCATGGGAAAGCACAGAAGCCTGACCCACCCTCCCAGTCTGGCAAACTCTCTTGTTCAGGACTGGTCAGGTCCCAAGGGTGCTGAACAAGAAGTTCCAACCTACATAAGTGTTAAATGTATACCAGACCAAACAGACCAGAAGGTAACACACTTACCTTCCAAAGTCACAGAGTTTTAGGACAGCTGTATCTGGGTCCAGCAAGAGGTTCTGTGGTTTTATATCCCGATGGCAGATTCCAAAGGAATGGATATAGGCTAAACTCCGGAACAGCTGATACATGTACAACTGGAACACAAAAAATGTATAATGTAAAATTTCTTAGTAACGAAATGGGAGTTGGGGGTGAGGGGGGGGGAAGAGTGGGAGAGAGATTAGCATAGTAAAAAAACCTATATAGGAAACAAGAATGAATTCTACAATTCACCAGAAAAATAGCTAGTCAAATAAAATTTTAAGAAATATTGGCAAGACAGGTCAGGCCTAACAGTTGAACTACACTTTTCTTCCCTTCCACACAACCTCAAAGCTTCTTTGTTAAAGTCAGTGTAATTTGTTATGAAAGTATTCCTTGACCATTCAAAGACAAAAAATATTATTCACAAAGAAAATTTAGTAACAGTAATCCAGCATTCACAAGCAATTCTACAAATAATGATGGCCAACAGAGAAAAAAACACAACAAATAAAAATAAATCCATGTTAGATTTCAAAGTCCTGTCTATGTTTTGTGAAGAGGCATTGTGACAAACTCTTAAATGGAACCTCTGAGGTTGCTGCAGTGGTACACCTTCATCAATACACACACAACCCACCCACCCAACGCATGCCTCTGTATCAGTGGCAGCAAGTGGGAGGAGGGGGGAGATGCCACGAGGAACTGGCTTAAATGCCAGCTCCCCACGAGCACTGGATCTGCCAGCCCCATGGCAGGAGGCAGCGGGGGGAAGGGTGAGGGGGGCAGGTAGGAGCTAATACTCGCAGGGAGCCAGCTTTCAAGCTAGCTCTCTGAGAGTGCTGGCTCTGTGGACCCACCTGCCACCCCCCCATTCTGCCTCCTACAGAGGTAGCAGGGGCAGGCAGGAACTGGTACTTGGGAAAGCCAGCTTAAAAGCCAAGCCAACCTCCCCTCCCCTCCCCTCCCCCTCGGATGTTGCCACCTGCCCCAACTTCCCGTGCTGCTGCTTCTTTCAGGTAAGGGGTAGGCAGGGGTGGCTGCCGTGAAGCAGCCCGTCTGCAATGTGCCCAGGCTTGGTGTGGACAGAGGCTGCTACACAGCAGGAGCCCCTGTCTGTGCAGAGCTTGAACGCCCCCTGCAGACAGGGGCAGCTGCTGCTCCACACTGCTGCCTTAAGCATCAGAGACAGCAGCGGTGGGGCAGCAGGCAGAGAGCTGGTTTTTAAACTGCCTCTCCTCACGCACTGGCTCCTGACTGCCATCTCGCACTGCTGCCTCTGATAGGGTATGTCTACACTACCCCGCTAGTTCGAACTAGCGGAGGTAATGTAGTCATCCGCAATTGCAAATAAAGCCCGGAATTTGAATTTCCCGGGCTTCATTTGCATGAAGCCGGCCGGCGCCATTTTTAAATGCCGGCTAATTCGAACCCCGTGCCGCGGCACGCAGTAGCTAGTTCGGATTAGGCTTCTAACCAGCTCGTGGAATGAGGAGTACAGCTAGTTCGGATTAGGAAGCATAATCCGAACTAGCTACTCCATGCTGCGTGTAGCTGCGCGGCACGGGTTCGAACTAGCCGGCATTTAAAAATGGCGCCGGCCGGCTTCATGCAAATGAAGCCCGGGAAATTCAAATAATGGCGCCGGCCGGCTTCATGCAAATGAAGCCTGGGAAATTCAAATCCTGGGCTTCATTTGCAATTGCAGATGACTACATTACCCCCGCTAGTTCGAACTAGCGGGGTAGTGTAGACATACCCATAGAGAGTCCGCAGTGCGAGATGGCAGGGTGCTCCCTGGGAGTGGGGTCAAGAGCCGGGTTGGGAGCACACTGGCTGCCTACTCTGCCTCCATAGACTATTGAATAGTCATGCAACCAATAATAATTCATGTGGTTACACAACTATTCAATTACATGCTATCTAACATGTCTAGCTGCTATGTGAAAGTAGAAGCAGGCATACTCTTGCCATCCTCAGGGGAAACATGGAGACTTCTGTGATGAGGTCCAACACGGCTCAAAACAGGTCCATCAGCAGAAACACCCTTGCTTTGGTGGAGTCAAGAGCTGCTTTGATAAATTCTATCCTTTGAGCTGGAATTAAGGTGGACTTTTTCCTCACTGATCAGGTGTCTTAGAAAATGACGTGGCTTATGGAACTAATACATCTCAATGGACCTGTGCTTTGGAGAAGTCTTTGACCAGCCAGTCATTAGTGTATGGGTAAATGCCCAATGCCTGAAGCTGGCCGCTATCACTGCTTTGCGCTTGCAAAACATCCTAGATGTCATAGCCAGGACAAACAAGAGAACTGCAAATTGGTAGTGGGTATATGGCCCACTATGAAACAAAAAAAGCCTATGCCCTGTGAAAATATGCATCCTTCAGGTTGAGGGCTTCCTTACAAGCTTCCCCAATCCAGGGAGGGGATAATGGAGGCTAGGGAGGCGATGTGGAATTTGAGCATCCTAAAGATACCTGTTGAGGTCTTACAGGTTCAGGATGGGCAGCAGATCTTCCTTGACCTCTGGCATTAGAAAGTATTGGAAACTGAACCTCCTGTTCCAATACCCACACAGAACTTACTCTGCCACCCCGGCTATAACAGCTCCTGAACTTCCTGAATGAGAAGATTCTCATGAAAGGGGTCTCTGAAAAGGGATGGAGTGACAAGAGGAATTGGAGCGAATTATCCTGCAAGATTGGATCCAGACCCAATAGTCAGAGGTTATGGGTGAAACAAGTGGTGAGGAAACCAGAAAGGCCATAGTCAAACAGGGAAAACAGGATCCGTGGAGAAGTCTGCTGTGCCACCCTCGGGGGCATCAAAATGAGTTCTTAGCTCCATGTTTGGAGTGGATAACACCTAACTGGGATGAGAGTGGGGATGGCAGATGCTTGCAGCTTCTGCTTTTCTTGGCTGGAGGCTCCTAATGTTGCTGGCTTCCCTGAATGGGAGCATGTGGCAGTCAGAATCCTTTCCAAGCAGGGCCAGGAATATACAAGCCCATCAAATGGAAAGTCCTGAATAGACTGCTGAGCAGCAGCCAGGAACCCCACACATGGGATATAGCTGACGTCATTGTACACACCACAGATTCCATCACATCCAAAGCTGCCTGAAGAGCCACCCTGACCCAGCAACATGCCCTCTTCCAGGATCACTTTGAACTCTTCCTGGAACCTTCAGGAAGCAATTCCTGGAATTTACCCATGGTCTGCCACATAGTGAAACCATAGCAACCAAGGAGGTCTTGTTAATTCGCCACCCTCACCTGACCAATGAAAGTGTATCCCCTAACAAGTCTAGTATTTTGGAGTGTTTTGTCATTGCCCCTGGTTGCCTCTGCCTCTCCCACAATAGGTTCCCCTAGAAAGTTTCTGTCCTATATTGGATCCACTCCTTTCTTCTCTGGACTCCTGATAGTGTCTGAGAATGGCAGATGCCTTGCACGTTCTATTCTAATATTATGAATATGGACAGCTGGCTTTATTGGAGAATGCCCCAATGGCACAGAGATGACCTTATTAGTTAACTCCACCTTACTGAATAGATTTGCAGCAATAAGAATATAGTGGGCATCTTCAGTCACCAGTCCCTATAGAACCGAAGATACAGAATCCATTGATACCACACAAGAAAGGAGACCAGTCTCCTGCTCTAGTGCATGATTGTTTTAGGTGGAGGAACAGACTGCCCTTCAGGGGTTGGAGGAATTAGATCTTGAAACCGACAATTTTATGTCTCCTGAAGAGAGCCTGAGTGTCTGCGCTGCCACATTTTCATCAAAGGAGAACAGAGCGTTTTAAGAATTGGCTTATTTTATATCATTCCCTCCCCTGCCCTTGTGCCAGATTCCTTAGGAGTGGAAGAGCTGCTTAAAGATCTAAGGGTGTGTCTAAACTGCATCCCTCTGTCTGCAGATTGATGCAGATTATGCAGGTCAACATTGCAAATGAAGCGGGGATTTAAATATCCCGTGCTTAATTTGCATAAAAATGGCCACCTTTTTACCGACTCAGAACTTTGTCAGCAAAAAGCAGAAGTCTAAAGGGAGGATCTGTCGAGAAAGAAAGCCTTTTTCGACAAATCTTGTACACCACCTTGCAGGAGGCATAAGGGATGTCAAAAAAGGCTCTCTTTCTCGACAGATATCCCTCTAGATCGCCGCTTTTTGCCGACAAAAATGGCGGCCATTTTTAATACAAATTAAGCACGGGATATTTAAATCCCCGCTTCATTTGCAATGTTGACCTGCATAATCTGCATCAATCTGCAGACAGAGGGATGCAGTTTAGACACACCCTTAGATCTTTAAGCAGCTCTTCCACTCCTAAGGAATCTGGCACAAGGGCAGGGGAGGGAATGATATAAAATAAGCCAATTCTTAAAACGCTCTGTTCTCCTTTGATGAAAATGTGGCAGCGCAGACACTCAGGCTCTCTTCAGGAGACATAAAATTGTCGGTTTCAAGATCTAATTCCTCCAACCCCTGAAGGGCAGTCTGTTCCTCCACCTAAAACAATCATGCACTAGAGCAGGAGACTGGTCTCCTTTCTTGTGTGGTATCAATGGATTCTGTATCTTCGGTTCTATAGGGACTGGTGACTGAAGATGCCCACTATATTCTTATTGCTGCAAATCTATTCAGTAAGGTGGAGTTAACTAATAAGGTCATCTCTGTGCCATTGGGGCATTCTCCAATAAAGCCAGCTGTCCATATTCATAATATTAGAATAGAACGTGCAAGGCATCTGCCATTCTCAGACACTATCAGGAGTCCAGAGAAGAAAGGAGTGGATCCAATATAGGACAGAAACTTTCTAGGGGAACCTAATGTTTTAGGAGAACAGAAGAGAAGATGACATTTGTTGTTGTTCTACCCTTCTGTTCCCTACTGCAGTCAAATCTAAACACGAGTCCCTTCTCTTCTGTTACTCTTTATTCTCAAAATTGATTGTGGCAGCAGCATTGTAGCAGATAGATGAATTTGTATCAGTACCACCAAAGAAGGTTGGGAAAAGGAATGGGAACAGGCAACCAGATCTGATACTATCTTTTGCTGCCTCTATTTTAATAAGTCAATCTTTGGATCCTTCAATTTTCCTACTGGATCAAAGTCTGACAATGACAGTTACAGTTGTGTCACAATTGGATGTTTCTTAGCTCTACTTGGAGTCTTTACACAATGGTCCTCTACTTGGCTCCTATGTAGTAGCATCTGAGAAGATTCTTATTTGTGGACTGGCTCTTCTCATAGAAGCTGTTGCCATTGATGACTCCATAGATTTCTGATCTATAGGTTTATGTAAGTAATTTGTCCTCAAATGCATTCAATGCCAAGAGTGGTGTATGTCATTTCTTGGAACAAACCATATTACCCCATTTGGCAGGTAGAGCTGCAATTGCTTCCTTGAAGCAGTATTGCTTATAGTCCACTGTCTCTTCTCTGCTCTTAGGGTAAAGATGATGCAAATGGAGCACTTGAAAGGTGAATGTCTTTCACCAAAGCAGGCAAGACACTGTGTCTGAGCACCCAATGCTAGAAAGACGTAAGAACAGAAGCCACATTGACTGAAGCTTTTTTGTTTTTTATTTTCTGATCTGCCAGCAAGTCTTAATGTTGACACATAGCTTCTGAACGATACACTAAACACAAATAAAGCTAATGAAGCTAAAACCAGTAACCATAAAAATTAGCATCTCCTAACTAACTAGACATTATCTAAGAGAAAGATCCAGACATGAGATCTGTGTTGGTTCCTAATTCATCACTATTGGACAGAGTTGGAAGGAACTGAGGGAGCTAGCGCATGACACTTTTACACCCTCATCTGCAGAATATGGAAAGGGAGAACAAGAAGCATGCATGAGCATTTACAAGGACACCGCTATCAAGGTCCTAACATACCTGGTGCATCATGAGTGAGCATTAAGTAGAGGCCACTCAAAGAAGAACAGGTGCTTTAGGAGTCCCAGAATGCACTGGTGCAATTGCAGGATGTACAATGTGAGGAAGTGTCAAAATGGTTCTGCTTAAAAACATACTGCTGAGGAAGAGCATTGGGCCATTGAGGGGAATACCACCACCTTATGGGAAAATCCATAATTTCATGCAGAGAATGTTCTTCAATGACCTCCATGCTCTGGGTAAACACATCCAAAGTGGATCTTACAAATACTGAGGAATGCACACACACAAAAAAGGCAGAAATATTTCACCAAAACCCTATTAAACAGACCTGTATGTCATCATTTTACTACTCTGAGCAGATCACCAAGGTATCAAGATGTTTACAAACCAATTGCCTCTTACTCGCCACAGTTCAACTGAAAGATGCCACAACTGCTAGTGTGGTGGTGAATCATATCTACCAAACTGAGACCACTCTACCTGAATAAAGCACAAACAAGAAATGCCGTGCAAAAGCAAAATTATATTCTTGCACATACATCTGTGCCATCCCGCTGATCAGCAATAATGGAAAAATAAGTTAGACCAGGACAGCTTACCAGAGTGTCAACAAATATTCTTGTTGATTAAAGTTTGTAAGAGTGGAACTGTGATATTCTGAAGGTGAACTAAAAATCTCATCATTGTTAGGGGGAAAAACAGAACAGTGCAGATAAACATAGTCGAGGTTCAGTTTGAATTTCAGTGTCTCTAAATATTATATCAATTTTTACACTTGATGGTAAAATACAAATACTGGGCCAGAAGTATTTCAGCCACCACTTCTCCCCATTACATAGGACTGTAGGTTCATTTTCAACTGTCGTGAGGATCTCTATACATCTGAAATAGTTCAGAAGTAGGGAGGAGAGGAAGGGAGACTGAGGTTTTCAATTTAAACACAATCTATTGGACACACAGCCCCAAGAAAAATGCCATTACAACCCTAAATTTGCTTTCCATTCTCTGTCATCCTGTCCCAAGAGCATTCTTGAGGTTCAGTCCAAAACATCTAGAGTGGGAAGTTTTAAAGACCATCCCCCTTTGATTTTACTTTTAAGGTCTTTAGCAATTCCCTGCAGTGCCCTCCTACTAGCAATGTAAAATCCTGTTTAATTAGACAGACAATTAATTGTTAACTTAACCAGTTATCCCTTCACCACAGATGGGCTGGAGTGCCCCTTGCCTGCGGCAGGCTCCAAAGAGCTGGAGCAGCCCTCTGTCCATGGTGGGGGCTTCATCAGTTAGCCATTAACATCCCTACCCTGCTCCAGCATTTCTTGTTTGCTGTCTTGCCACCTGTCAGTTGAGCTGTATCCCCATCTTTCTCCACTGAGAGCTTTACTTTTAAATCTCAGAGGAAAAAGGTAAGCAGTCACTTCTGCTTGGAGAGGGAACTACTAACCAAGCTAAACAGTAGTAGTGACTCTTCCCATATTTAAATTCTAGTCAATCAATCATGTTTGTAGCTTACAAACATGGGAATGGGGACTTGCTGTGAAGCTGATCATCTTCGTGAGAGCTCTACCTGGCAGGTTACTGGCCAAAGCAAGAATGTCCAGCTGCAAAGCAGGATCCTTCTGACTACGGGAATTAGAGCTGCAAGGCAGGGATATGGCTACATGACATTAATAATTACAAACCCTGTGTAATAAGGGCTGATAAGGACAGCAAGATTATTCTTACTCCTTGCCCTTAAGATTCCAATAAAAATCAAGCCAGGACACTTTTGGTTCAGGAGATCATTTCTGGAACTCTTGAAGTACATACTCTAATGTCTACATTTGGCTGCCTTCAGAATAGTGTTCAAGTTTTTTCATTCATAGAAACAGCTATAAAGGTCATATGTGTCTCAATTTTATCAGCAGCTATTCTTCATGAATTTTTTCTTTTTCCATATTTCTGTCAATAGACTGACTAGTCTGGCTTCTAGGTCCAGTTTATTTTCTGTTATTATACAGTACTCCAGATACATGATTAGGAAATGTTAAGTTTAAAATGCAATACCTACAAACAAGTCAAATTTGTTGTGAGAATTTCCATTTATAAAGAGGAATATTGTGATGGTTTTCTCCAAAAGAGTTTAAGAGTGTTATTACCCGAGGAGTCAAAATCTGGTATATACAGAATGTAGTATAGATGTCTGTCTTAGAATACAACTGGATGCAATTTGTTGTGGGTTTTTGGTCATTTTACATAATTATTTTTTTGTCTTCCATATTATATGTTAGAATCTATATCATAGAATAATATGACTGGAAGGGACTTCAAGAGGTTATCTAATCTAATCCCCTGCACTCATGGCAAAACATCCCTGACAGGTGTTTATCTAACCTGCTCTTAAAAATCTCTCATGATGGAGATTCCACAATCCTCCTGGGCAATTTATTCCAGTGCTTAACTATCCTGACAGGAAGTATTTCCCAACGTCCAATTAAACCTACCTTGCTGCAATTTAAGCCTTTTCATTCTGGTCTTATCCTCAGAGGCCAAGAAAAACAATTGTTCTCCCTCCTTCTTGTAACAACCTTTTATATACTTGAGAACTGTTATATCCCATCTCAGTCTTCTCTTTTCCAGACTAAAAAACCACCTTTTTCCAATCTTCCCTCATAGGTCATGTTTTTTCAAGACCTGTAACCATTTTTATTGCTGCTCTTGATTTTCTCCAATCTGCCCACATCTTTCTTGAAAAGTGGTGTCCAAAACTGGATATAATACTCCAAGTGCGGCCTAATCAGCACAGAGTATAGCAGAATTACTTCTTCTCATGTCTTGCTTACAATACTGTTCTCCTGCAAATACACCCTAGAATGATGTTTGCTTTTTTTGGCAAGTGTTACGCTGTTGGCTCATATTTAGCACTCTGAGCCCAGAGCCCTCTCTGCTATACTCCTTCCCAGGCAGTCATTTCCCATTTTGTATGTGTGCAACTGACAGTTCGTTCCTAAGTGGAGTAAAGCATGCTATACTTACTACTATTATGTAGACATTGATAGATAGTCTAATCCTCCACTGCCAGAATTCACATCACTGACAACTTCCAAAGAGGCTTCATAACACTTTCTTTGACCTACTGGCTAATAAAACTCTGACAACCCTACCTTGCTAAATTATCCTTCAAAAAAAAATCAGATGTAATTGACTTTATTCTTGCATTTGAGATGTCTGAGGTAAATGAATGCATGTTTCCAGACATCAAGACAATGCTCTATCAACAGCAGGATGAAAAGTAAAGTCTGCTGTATCAATGAGTACAAAAACATTTCCCAGGTCTAGAATGAATGACAAGCGCCCGCGGCTGCCAAATTTTTTATTTCTCCAGCAAGAGAATTTACAATACACCACATCAGTTCTCATAGGACAGGATATGCTTAAGTAAAAATCAATATTCCAACTTCCCCAGAGTGTGTGTGTAGGAAAGCCATGAGCATGTAAGCTTACATCCAAGATATGATCTTTTCGTCATTGCAAACACCAAAAAATGTTTAATAGCATAAGACCAAAACTAACTGGGCAAATACTGAAGGGCATGCTGTCAAACTGTAAACATAGTACTTCCACAACAGCCCAGATGCATTGATTTGTCTCAGACAAAACATTGCTGCTGGGTTATCATTTCTCTGAAAATGTAGGAGTCTAAACAACTGCACAGACTTTCGCTGAACCTTGCTACCTTAAAATGTTTATCTATACAGCTGGTCCACAATTATTCCCTCTTGTAATAATTTCTTTTTATAAATCACACAATCTTGAAATAAACCCTTCAATATTTAGTCCACCTTGCAATTTAATGGAAGAATTTAAAGTTCATCTTGGAGAAAAGTTGAAATGTTATATACAGCAAATTTCCTATTTCAATTTATAGTTACAATTACCTACCTTGACATAGATCATAGGGAGTGTCTGTTTGGCCCGACTATAATGTCTGGCAACTCTGTATACTGTTTCAGGAACATAATCCAGCACCAAATTGAGGTATACCTCGTCTTTCTGTAAGAGAAAACAGCAAAAATAATAGAGAAAAAAATCAAAACAGGGAAATGCACAGTATTAAAGGCAGCTGGCAGCTTAAGAAATATGTTAGCTTGCAAGGTTCTAAGGTTTTAACAAAAGGTATGTCTACATTGGAGAAGCACATTATGTTAAGAGAAAACAGTGACTTTTTAAAGCTATGTTAAACATGATTTAAATTACATTCAATATCACTCCAGTTAAACAGATTAATTAAGAGGTTTTCTAACATGAGGCATTTTTCCAGTATAAGTGAGACCAAACAGGTCAGTGACCACTTGGCCCATTCAAGTCTCTATAAAAGAGGTTTGGGGAAGGTATCTTACACTTCTTAGAAGAATTGCTTACTTCAAATTTCTTGACACACCTCAGCTTAATTACTTTAAAAAAGTGTGTTTGTTTTTTAATTCTAGCATATTTGAAAGTATTTCAACAGAATCAGATTAATCTAACCTTGCTAGAAAGCAGTGTTTCCCACACTATGGGCCATGGCCCAATACTGGTCCGTGGGAAAAAAAATACCAGGCCTCAGCATGGCTGCCGGGGTGTTCCGGGCTCCCAGAGTGCCTGTGTGGCGCCTGCACCCCAAGTCCTGGGCTGGGCAGAGGATGCAGCT